TTTTGCGGTACGCGGGCCTCTCACTGTTGTGGCCTCTCCCGTTGCGGAGCACAGGCTCCAGACGCACAGGCTCAGTGGCCATGGCTCACGGGCCCAGCCGCTCCGCGGCATGTGGGATCTTCCCGGACCGGGCCACAAACCCGTGTTGCCTGCATCAGCAGGCGGACTCTCAACCACTGCGCCACCAGGGAAGCCCTTGCTCATTCAGTTTTTGACCCTCTCATTGACTGCTGCTCATAGGGAACTTCCAGGCAGGAGAGGATGGTTGGATTCTAAAGCGTTTCTGTCAGTATGAGCAGCGCAGCCTGGAGCAGCTGATGCGTGACCCCCTGCGACCTTTCGTGCCAGCCTACTATGGCATGGTGCAGCAGGATGGCCAGGCCTTCAACCAGATGGAAGATCTCCTGGCAGACTTTGAGAACCCCTCCATCATGGACTGCAAGATGGGCAGCAGGTAGTTTCAGGGGCAGCCATGGGGCAGAGGTGAAGGGTCGGGGGGACATTTTTGAAGATAGCGCCAAGCCAATCTTCAAAGCGGTTGTACCAGCATCCTTTCCCACCATCAGTGTATGAGAGTTCTGTTCTATCTTCTCATCAACACTTTGTATTACCTGTTTTATTACTTTTAACTATTCTGGTGAATAGTTATGGTTTTAATTTTGATTTCTCTGATGACCAAACAACTTGAGCATTGATTGATTGGCCATTTGGATATCCTCTTTTGAAAAGTGCCCATTTTTCTACTGGTCTCTCTTTTTCTTTTTATTATAAAGATGTATAATTCTTTATATATTCTGGATACAAGTCCTTTGCTGGAGATATGCACACACACACACACACACACACACACACACACACACTCCAACTCTCCCATTTCACTCTCTTAACGTCTTTTGATAAACAGAAGTTTTTTTTTTAATTTATTATTTAGTTAGTTAGTTTTGGCTGCGTTGGGTCTTTGTTGCTGCACGTGGGCTTTCTCTAGTTGCAGCGAGCTGGGGCTACTCTTTGTTGCGGTTGCAGTGCATGGGCCTCTCATTGCGGTGGCTTCTTTTGCTGCAGAGCATGGGCTCTAGGTATGTGGGCTTCAGTAGTTGTGGCTTGCAGGCTCTAGAGCGCAGGCTCAGTAGTTGTGGTGCACTGGATTAGTTGCTCCACGGCATGTGGGATCCTCCTGGACCAGGGATTGAACCCGTGTCCCCTGCACCGGCAGGCAGATTCTTAACCACTGTGCCACCGAGGAAGTCCCGAGAAGGACTTTTAATTTAGTACAGGTTGTCAATTTTTTTCATTATGGTTAGTAGCTTTGTGTTTAAGAAATCTGCCTACTGTAAGGTCACAAAGATCTTCTCCTATGTTTTCTTCTACAAGCTTTGTTTTAATTATCGCATTTAGATCTGCAATCCACCTAGATTTAATTTTTGTCTATGGTCTGAGGCCCAGATCGAGGTTCATTCCCCTCTCCCCACCGCCTTATGGATATCCTATTGACCTAGCACCATTTATTGAAAAGACTGCCCTTTTCTCATTGAATTGTGGTGCCTTCTTTGTCATAAATTGGGTGAATGTACGTGTGTCTGTTTGTGGACTCTGTTCTGATCCATTGATCTATTTGTATATTCTTGTGCCACACTGTAGTTTTGTAACATGCCTTGATATCAGGGAGTGTAAGTCCTCCAGCTTTGTTCTTCGTAATTTCCCTTGTTATATCCTCTGTGTCCCAGGACCTACCTGGAGGAGGAGCTGGTGAAGGCGCGAGAACGGCCCCGGCCCCGGAAGGACATGTATGAGAAGATGGTGGCTGTGGACCCTGGGGCCCCCACCCCCGAGGAACATGCCCAGGGTGCAGTCACCAAGCCCCGCTACATGCAGTGGAGGGAGACCGTGAGCTCAACCTCCACCCTGGGTTTCCGGATCGAGGGCATCAAGGTGAGGGCCAGGAGCTGCTAGCCTGTTTGTAGAGGGCTAAGAGCTAGATCTGAGGCAGGGCTTCCCAAGGAACCAGGGTGTCAGAGAAAGCAGGAAAGAAGCAAGATCTGGAGAGAGAGCAGGAGATGGCAGAGGATGGAAAAATGCACTAGGAGGGTTCCTGCTTCTCTCTTACCCCTGTGTCTATCACAGACCAAGTTTTCTTTATCCATCTGCCTGAAGGTCTCTTGATTCCATCTTCTTTCCCCTCCCCAAGACCAAGACCCTGTCTTAGTCCAGCTGCATCTTCTCCTGACTCAGCCTCCCTGGCCTCCCAGATGCTGGTCTCACCTCCTCTGATCCATCATCCAACACAGCAGCTGGAGGGGCTTTTTCCTCCTAATGGAGAAAAATGTTCTCTTTTCTTCTTTATTTCTTTTTTCAAAAGTTGTTTATTTTATTTATTTATTTTTGGCTGTATTGGGTCTTCGTTGCTGTGCACGGGCTTTCTCTAGTTGCGGAGAGCGGGGGCTACTCTTCGTTGCAGTGTGTGGGATTCTCATTACGGTGGCTTCTCTTGTTGCGGAGCGTGGGCTCTAGAACGCAGGCTCAGTAGTTGTGGCTCATGGGCTCTAGAGCACAGGCTCAGTAGTTGTGGCGCACGGGCTTAGTTGCTCTGCGGCATGTGGGATCTTCCCGGACCAGGGCTCGAACCCGTGTCCCCTGTATTGGCAGGCGGATTCTTAACCACTGCACCACTAGGGTAGCCCCTTTCTTTCTTTTTTTTGTAAATTAAATCTAATTGTTTGAATAGCTATTCACACAGCTCAAAAGTCAAAATAATATTATAAAAGGGTATATAGGAGAAATCTCTCTCCCAACACTGTTGCCGTCCTTCCCATTCTGTCCCTCCACCACACCCTCCTCATGGGGAACCACTTTATCAGTTTCTTATATTTCTTCCTGTATTTAAAAACAAATGCAGTTGTATATACTACCTTTTCCTCCCATTTTTTAATTTATTTATTTGGCTGCACTGGGTCTTAGTTTCAGTATGCAGGATCTTTTTAGTTGCGGCATGTGAACTCTTAGTTGCGGCATGTGGGATCTAGTTCCCTGACTAGGGATTGAATCGGGCCCCCTGCATTGGGAGTGTGGAGTCTTAGCCACTGGACCACTGGGGAAGTCCCTCCTCCCTTTTTCGTTTTTACAAAAGGGGGCATATAGTCCTGGAGTTTCCCATATCATTTCGTAGAGAGATAGGAGATCCTCTTCCTCCCTCCCTCCCTCCCTTCCTTCCTATTCCTTCTATAATAGCTCTTTGTGGATGTGCCACAGTCCCCTATAGATGGCACAGTGAAACACTTTCATTTCTTTGAAAGGGTCCTGTTCTCTCCTGCCACAGGCCCTCTGCACATGCTGTTTCCTGTGCCAGGAGTACTTTTCCCCTGCTCCCCTGGTTGACTGACTCCCAGTCATTTTCCTGACTCCTTCCAAATTTCACTTCCTCTGGGAAGCCCTCCTTGAGTTCCATCCGACTAGTTCAGGGTCTTTACCTCTTTATAACTCCCTGTACTCCATTATTCTTATCTCCCTTTGTGATGATCTTATCCAGTATTTGTATCCCTCATCTGTGCTGTTACCTGTGCTGTTACCTCCATGTTACCATTGCCTACAGGGCACCTGGCACAGCATGGCAGAATGACTCAGGGGGCTCTCTGTGCCTCTCTCAGACAAAAAATAACATTAGTCTCTTTTACTGAGTGCTTACTTACTATGTGCCAGGCACTGTGCAGTGTATCCTACACACCCAATCTCTCCTCCTCCTTATACCAGCTTTAGGAGGTAGATACTAACACAATTCCCATTTTCCAGATGAGGAGCTCAAGGCTGAGGCAGGTGAAGTGACTTGCTTAACGCCACCTAGCTACGAATTAGCAGAGCCATGATTCAAAGCCAGATCCACCCAGCTCCAAAGCCCACTCGGCTAGACTGGCTCAACCAGAGGGTTCAAGGTTAGACTTAAAGGACTGGTTGCTCAGGAGTATGACTTGGGGCTAGGCAGGTGGGCTAGCTTCCCCTGAACAGCAAGTGAGCCTGGAGGTGGGTAGGTGGCCCCTGGAAGTGCCTGAGGCTGCTTGGTGTTGGGCATGGGAAGGAAAAAGTATGGCACCCCTCATCCTGTAGAAAGCCGACAGGACCTGCAACACTAACTTCAGGAAGACGCGGAAGCTGGAGGAGGTGACAAAGACGTTGGAGGACTTTGTGGATGGGAACCGCGCAATCCTGGTGAGCGGGACACCTATGCCCCCAAATTTAGCAGCTTAGGACCACCACCATCATTGTTCCTCCCACATCAACAGTCTTTTGCCTTGGGCTGAGGTTGGCTGACACTGGCTGGCATTGCTCACCATCAGGCCAGCTGGTGGGAGGGCCCTGCTCTCATGTCTGGTGACTGCCTCACTGTCTCAGCTCCTGGCTCCATCCAGCAGACCAGCCTGGGCTTGTTCTCATGGTGGAAGCAGCAGGCCAAGAAAACAAGTGAAAAAGCAAAGCCTCTCGATGGCTAGGCTAAGAATGGCCACCATCATTCTCGCCATGTTCTATTGGCCAAAGCAAGTCATAAGACCAAGACTAGATTACAAGGGAAAGACTCCACCTCTTGGTGGGAGGAGCTGCTAGGAATTGTGGGTATTCATGTAATCTACCAACCACACTCTTTTTTTTTTTAATTTTTATTTATTGTGTTCATTTATTTTTGGACACACTGGCTCTTCGTTGCTGCACATGGGCTTTCTCTAGTTGCAGCGAGCAGGGGCTACTCTTTGTTGCAGTGTGCAGGCTTCTCATTGCGGTGGCTTCTCTTGTGGTGGAGCACAGGCTCTAGGAGCGCGGGCTTCAGTAGTTGTGGCACACGGGCTCAGTAGTTGTGGCTCACGGGCTCTAGAGCACAGGCTCAGTAGTTGTGGTGCACGGGCTTAGTTGCTCCGTGGCATGTGGGACCTTCCCGGACCAGGGCTCGAACCCATGTCCCCTGCATTGGCAGGCAGATTCTTAACCACTGCGCCACCAGGGAAGTCCCCAACCACACTCTTGTCTGTGCCACCCTGATGCATCCAACCCCTGCCTCCCGCCACCTCCCATTTCCCCATCGCCCCCTTTACCCCATTCTGGCTGGGGTATGCCTACTCCTCTGGGGTTATGGGATGAGTTCAGATCTCAAGGTGGGTAAGGACCCACAAAGTCCATAAGCTAACCAAGAAATCCTCCCTCTCATGCACAGAAAAAGTACGTGGCACGCCTAGAAGAACTTCGTGAAGCTCTGGAGAACTCCCCCTTCTTCAAGACCCACGAGGTGCGAGCCCCGGCCACCATGGGAACAGAGGGCCCTGTGTGAGGGGGAGTGTCGGGGTCCAGGTGGTACTCGGCAGAAACCACCAACAGGGTCACAGGCCAAAGCTATAAAAGGAAGCCCCGAGTTTTGGGGTTTGCTTCTTTAGGGTAGGCAGCACGAGGGATTTCAGGGAAGTGGGACAGTTAGGAGCATGGACCCCAGCCAGGTGGCCTTGGGATGAGGCTGGCTCTGCCATTTGACCCTGGGCATATGACCTACCCTCTCAGGCCTCAGTTTCCTCCTGACATGGGGAGGAACAATAGTACCTTCCTTATAGAGCTGCTGAGGTGGGAGATGAGCAAATGCAGAGCGCCGTGAGGAGCACAGAGGGGCTCTTGACTCCTAGCTCTTGTGGTTATTTTATACCCATGATTATTTACAATTATTGTTACCTGCCTTCCTCATCTGGTGGGTGTCCCCACTCCCCTTTCCTCTCTCTCCTTTCCACAGCCTGTGTCTTTTTGGAAACATTCATCTCTCTGGGGCTGTCTCAGAAAGTCCGTGGTGACGTCACTGTGTCTATCTCCAAGTTCTTCCGCCTCCCCCGTCAAGCCCCTCTCTCTTTTTCCTGATATCACTGACTTCTGAAAAAGCACCAACCTGGGCGTCAGGCCAGCCTGTGTTCAAATCCCAGCCACCTGAGCCTGGGCAGCAGCTCCGCAGGCCTGTCTCCTGACCTGTAGGACAGGGTAACAGTAGCACCTGCCGCATGGGTGTAACGAAGGTTAAGTGGATTAATATAGTTAAAGACCAGCCCATAGGAACCCTGCAGTATGTGTTTTTGCGGTATGCAGGCCTCTCACTGTTGTGGCCCCTCCCGTTGCGGAGCACAGGCTCCGGACGCGCAGGCCCAGCGGCCATGGCTCACGGGCCCAGCCGCTCCGCAGCATGTGGGATCTTCCCAGACCGGGGCACGAACCCGTGTCCCCTGCATCGGCAGGCGGACTGTCAACCACTGCGCCACCAGGGAAGCCCTGTGCCAGCTTTTATGGTCACGTTTGTTATCACCAAACATCACCCTCATCACCCTTGTTACTGCCTTTGAGCTTTACACGCGAGTCACAAAGAGGAGGCCTGGGGGCCCCGCCTCTTATTCCCTCAGGTTTGGTTTCACCTGCCCGGTGACTAAACATTTAAAAAAATTAGTTGCCAGCATTGAAAACATGATAAAGATGTAGAGTTCACACTAAAATCGGGATTTCCAGTTTCTCTTGGCACCATGAGAGACATGGTAACCCTGGGCCGCTCGCCACATGCCAACAGCCATCCAGAGCTGGGCAGCGTCTGCCTCTTCTGACAGCCACCTGCTCACCTGCCCAGTCATCCGGGTTCTCTGGGAGCACTGGTGTCTGAAACCCGACTAGAAAAAGGGAGAGGCTTGCAAACCTGGCGTTAGATGAAAGGAAGGAATGTATTTCTAACTAAAAAAGAAAAAACAACCCAGTATCTCCGGAGGGCTGTGTGGCCAGCTCCACAAGGCAGCTTGTGAGCTGTGGAACGTGGAATGCTGCAGTGACCCCAGGAGGTGGGGCAGTTACCATCACCCCCATTCTACAGATGAGCAAACCGAGCCGGACAAAGGAAGCCACTTGCCTGGCGTCACCAGCAGCAATCCGCTGGGGCTGAGTGGTTGCTGCCCCTTCCCGCGCGGAGGCATTATCCACTCCCTCAGTCCCCGCCAGGCCCCTCTGACGGCTTCAGGATCCTGCGGGCATTTGAGTTTGTACCCCAGCTTGAAAAAGGATAACAGTTAACACTGTTTTGCATTTGTTTATGCGGGCAACTCTTCTAAGAGCTTTCTGTGGATTAATTCACACATAATATGCACAGCAACCTTTGAGGTAAATGGTACTCTTATTCCGTTATTCCCACTTTGTACGTGAGGACACAGAGATAAGGAGAAGTTAAGTACCCTGCCCAAGGCCACACAGCCATAAGTGGCAGAGCTAGGGTTTGAACCCAGGCAGCCTGGCTCCAAAGTTCATGCCGTCAGCCACCCTGCCCAGCAGTCTGTGGGGCCGGGACCTTGGCCAGTGCCTGCCCCTCCCTCTAACCTCCTGCCTCTCCCTCTGCAGGTGGTAGGCAGCTCCCTCCTCTTTGTGCATGACCACACCGGCCTGGCCAAGGTCTGGATGATCGACTTTGGCAAGACAGTGGCCCTGCCTGACCACCAGACGCTCAGCCACCGGCTGCCCTGGGCTGAGGGCAACCGCGAGGACGGCTACCTCTGGGGCCTCGACAACGTGATTCACCTTCTCCAGGGCCTGGCCCATAGCTGACCTGCTCGCCCACCATCACGTTTATTTATTGGATGGTGCCCGTGTGGCTGGAGGGGCCCCGAGATGCATGGAGGCCTGAAGTCCAGGGATGGGAAAGGTTGCACTGCACACCACGCAGGACCGGTGCAGAAGATGCAGAGGGCCTTGGCGATCAGGTGGCACCGCACCCTCGGGGGCGGGGAGGTCGTTAAGAGCCCGAGAGGCACGTGCCATGGCTGGGTCCCGCAGTGAGTCAGAACCAGACTGGGTCCCCTGACCAGCCAGGAAGTCTTCTGAGGGGCTGCAGAGGCCACAACTAAACCACACGCCCTGAGAGAACACAGTGTACGTACTGCAGGGCACGGGCATGACCTCAGGCTTGTCACCACATGGATGACTGTAACCTCGGCCTCCTCGTCAGCCCCTCCCTCTACGAGCTGGCCCCTTGCAGGCCCGAGAACCAGACCTCATTTGTGAGCAAATGTAGCAGACCTTGGTTGGCCCGCCCGGGAGAGTTATAGCCCAGTCTCTTCATCTGGGGTCCCTCCAAGTGCTGACAGAGGCTCTGAGGGTGTGGCACCCTGGGACTGGCTTGAGAGCTGCCACCACTAGGCAGGGCCCAGTTCACCCTGTCCTACCCGCCTTTGGCCCCATGGGCTCCTGCCCTGCTCCTGGGAGAACTCTGCTGACCCCCCTGCAGACTGAAACCACAGCCATGTCCCATGCCAGCACTGTGACCAGCACAACCTTGTTCCTCAGGCCTCAGCCTCGGGACGTCCTCCTTCTGCCCTTTACCCTTTTCTGTCTCCTCCCTCCTAGCGGACTGTGGTGGCAGGAAGGGCATTCAGAAGGAAAAGGGAAAAGCAGGCTTGGGAACCAGCTGCCTTCCTCGGGAGGGCCCCCATCCCTGGCCTCTGCTGTGAAGAGGCCCCGCTTGGGCCTGCGGTGCAGGGTAGGTGGGCCTGCAACCTGGTCCAAACCAAAGACCCCAGCACTCTGAGGTGTGGGTAGCGCCCCTCTGTCCTCCTCCTGCACCTAACTTTGGGTTCCTGGCCCACAAAGCTGGGCTTGGGGAGGACAGGTGCCCCCCCCATCCCTTAGCCAAAGCTCTAACGTGGTCTTCCGGCTGACGTGTGCTCCTTTTCTACTGACCATCTTTATACTTATTTATGTGAGAGGTAGTTGTTAAGACGGGGCAGCGCTGGGGAACAGGAGGCAAAACTGTTTCACTGCCTTTCCGTGACGACACCCCAATAAACAGCACATTTACAGTCACCTTTGTCTTTTGTATCTGGGGTTTGTGGGCTCAAAGCTCGTAATTGGAGCATTAGCGTCAGGTAGGGTGATGGGATAATGATTGGTCTGGGGTAGAGGCAGGCTCAGAGTGGGCGGGTTCATTCATCCGCTTCACCGAGTTGGTACTCTTGTGCCTGGCTCTGTGCAGGGAACACAGGGGTGACCAAGACAACTCCAAGCCCTGTCCTCCAGGGCTCCCAGGACAGTGCACCAGGGCTCCCAGGATAGTGCCACCCAGGGTGTCAGGGCTGGGGTGGGTAAGAAACACTACACTGTAGTTTCTAATAAAACCCTTTGTTGGGCATGGGGGACATAGCAGTGACCAGGACAGATCTGTTCCTCCCCTTTCGGAACGGATGGAATAGGTATTCGTTAAATGCTCTCTCTTTCC